TGTGGCAAGGACCTTGGTCCACAGTGAAGAAGTTGGCTCAGGAAGGAAGAGAAGGGAGTGCCGAATCTACAAGGGCAGCTTGTGGGCAGAATGCCTGCCTGGCAGTCAGTATCCTGCAAAAAAGAGGGTCAGCTTCCCTGGCCTCAATAATTAACCCCAGGTTCTTGGTCTGGTGTTTGAAGTCCTGTCCCAGTCTGTCTACCACTTACAAGCTGCCCCAGCCCCAGGCCCTATCTACAGTGTCACAACAGGGCCTCAGCAACTTAGCAACCACAGGAAGTTCCTTTCGCCTGCTCTCCCTGGGAGTGTATCCTATTGGTCTGAAGCCTGGTCCCTGGCATACCATGCCTTATTGAGCACCCCTTTTCAGAAAATGATCCCCAAGTCACCAGCTTGGGCCTGAAAGTCCTTGAAATGGTCCAAGAAAATGCTCTGGGGGCATGGTGGTGTAGGTAGGTGTTAGTGGTGTTGGTGGTGGTGGTCGAAGCCATTTGTCTCATCCCTTCTAGGAGAACAAGAGTAGTGTTTAGACAAAAACACAAGAGGGCAACAGAGCACATTGTACCAGTAGGGCCCATTAAACAGAAACCAGGAATGGGCTTTCAGCTTGTCTCACTGGGGGTGGAGTAGGGGTGGGGTGGGAGGGCAAGTTCTGTTTTTGTAACAGGACAACCTGGGTTTCCATTCAACCAAAGGAATCCTCTATCCCAGTTTGACCAAAGGGACACAGTCTCTTCCAGGTAGGTCAGAGACATCTCTGGACCCATGTGGTGTGAGTGTTAATAGTGCAACCAGATAGCACTCAGGCCTCCAGATTCAGTTAGCTCAAGCTTCCCAGAAACATCAACAAATGGAACAAAACAATGAAAGCCGGAACAATGACCAATCAAGACAAAGAGTGCTCAATGAGCAGCTTGGTTCAAATGCTCAACATGTCAGGAGTCTTGGCGGGAACTCCTGGCCAATGCACCATATGTTCAGGTCCATGAGAAGTCCCATAAAAGACCACCAGTCACATATGCAACCAGCAAGAGCAATTATTAAAATTACCAACATATTTGTGTCTAATCATCTGCAAAATGGCAAATTGTGACCTGGAGAGAAGCTTGAAGGCTCCTTTTAATCAGGGTTAGATAACTTGCAGGGAGGAGAGTTTAGTCTGGGGGCTGATTGGCAGGTTTAAACAAAAAGTTTATAAGATTGGTAGGTATCTCTAGTGGTTAAAGACTTTCCAGAGGTGGGGTAGGGAAAGCTATCTTTTTCAAGCAGAAGGCTGTGGAGCACCTGCTGAGCCAGCAGAAGGCTGTGGAGCACCTGCTAATTAGTTGCAGATGAGTTGTGCTTTTCCTGCGAACTACATGCTAAGCTCTAGCCAGCTCCTCTAAACTGAACCTAAGGGCTGGTCCCTGGCAGGGCTGTTAGGAGAACCTGTCATGGCCCTTGTCTGGTTCCAGGGCTGCTCATACAAAATGTATGAAAATTCTTGTGTCTCAATCCTGTGACTTCCTAGTACTCTTTTCTTGTCTTTCTACCAGCTCAGCATATTCACTCTAAACTCCGGGAAAGCTAGACTGGGGTGAATGACACCCTCTGTAGGATGCTTCTGCTACAACCTGCTGGGGAACAATTTTAGGATTAATTTGTTTGGTTTTAAAAACATTTTTATTTACTGTATGATAATTTTCATTCGTCTATGTTGCATTTATATCCTCTTCACCCACTATTCCTCTCTGTTTTTCCACTCTTATTCTCTAAGGGATCCTTCCTCTTCCCAATGGTTGCCCCTATGTTTTCTTGTCTTTATGTTTTTAAATAGTCCACTAATTTTCCTAAGGATCACTTTGTGTTCTGGTGTGGGGTTATTTACTTGATCATGGGCGACTTTCTAGTGGTCACATGTTAAAGAACAGTGACTCTCTCTCCCCCAACAGTCACTAATCCTAATATTTCCTCAGCTAAGTCCTCATGTGGCCCCGATTTCCTTCATGCTGAAATGTGGACAGGCTAGATCTGTGGAAGTCTCTGCAGGGAACCCCAGGTGCTATGAGTTCACATATGCAAATGCCATGTCATAGTCAGAAGTCATTATTTCAGGCCACTGCCCCTGCCCTTCCCCTGGCTCTTCCAGGATGTTTCCTGAATCTGGTTAGGGTGGGGGGTTGATAAAGATGTGCCTGTTATATTTAGCAATGAGCACTCAACTGTCACGTATTCTCACCACTTTGACCAGTTATGAGACTGTGCATTCAAACACTACCCACTGCAGAAACAGAACAAATGGGAACTAAGCAGCAACACCACCAACAAATCCCTTGTCTGAGTAAGGTGTCACTAATTTCTGGTATAATCAGTAATATTGAGAAGGAAATTGGCCAACATGGCCATTTATCAAACAACAATAGTAGAAACTGTGGGCATTTTAAATTAGGGAATCCTCTTTAGCTTCATGGTTTTTATTGGAAAGTTGTAGTTCTAATGAAGAAATGTATCTATTTGTAATGATTGATATTTCATATCACTATAGTTTGTTGTGTTCATACTCAGTGCAAGACATTTACCATGAAGTTTTATTGTTGCTTATTTTTTTCTTGTTTTTAGTAGTTCTTTGAGAATTTTGTACAATGTATTTTGTTTGTATTTTGATTATATTTATTTACTCATTCTCTGTGTACTCATGTATTGGGGCTAGCACATGTATGTAGAGGTCAAAAGACAAGTTCTGGAAGTCAGTTTTCTCCCACCACTATGTGAGTCTTGGGACTAGAACTCAGATCCTCTGGCTTAGTGGCAAGTGGCCTCACCTGCTCAGGCATCTTGCTGGCCCAAGACAGTTTTACATTGTGCATAATTAGAACAAGGGATGAGGACCACAAGGATGGGAGGCTTTATAAAAGATTCCATGAACTTTTGTCTTGATAACTTTCACCAGGCTAAACCCAGTGGATCCAGGCCCATGTTTGCCCTGATAGACGTAACAACTTTCATTTTTATCGTGCTCCATCAGCTTTTGTGATTGGCCAAATTTATTACCAAATAGTTAATTTCAGTAGCTATCAGAAAAGCTTAGTTCTGGCCTCCTCTGTTAGGTTTGTGTGAGGCTGACAGAGTTGAACCCGGATGTCTGTCCAGTTTGGGAGAAGAGTAACAAGATTCAGAGAGGACCCTGGCATTTTAGTAGGAATTTCCTAGACAGGAGGTCAGGAGCTGAGCTGAACCCCCAACTCCCTGCGGGGCCAGCATTTTCCTGAGGATGGGGAGCAGGGTTTGGGTTTCGTGGCCTCTGTTCTTGGTTTTCTGTTTTGTTGCTGGCAGTGCTGGGACCCAGGGCCTGTCCCTGTCAGCAGTCAGGCTGTCAGCAGGAAATAGAAATACTTACTGAAGGAAAGATAAGGTTTAGAAAATTTTACAAAAATATGTACATACCAATTTAGGTATTAAAATATCTAATCCCATAACATTATATACAAATGTGATGCCCACTAGCCATGAATTGCTGTTGGATACGTTTTTTTTGTAACTTAGCACAACCTTTATCTTATGGTTCTGATGAATGTTAGTTTCATTACAGTCTAGTTTTGTAAATGTTACCAAAGCAGATCAGTATCTTAAGAGAACCTCCTTGATATAAATAACACCATATTTTAGAACTGTATCAGTGTAGTGAACTTTGACCTTAGAAATTTTAATAACCTTTAGATATAGCTAACTCAGAGATACACGTATCCTTTTTTTTATTCTACAGCTATTCTCTATCTTAAAACAAAACTAATTTACAAATTATTTTCCTTCAACATTTCTAAAAACATATATTAGCATACTTATGACCTATATCAAGCCCATAGATATAACAGAGGGATCAATACAGATTGTCAAATCCAAATTTCTGAAGTTACTATTAACTATATCAACTCATCCTACTGACTACTCTTTCTTCTGTCTCCTGCACATGTTGTCTGTGTTCATTTGAAATGCTGCAGGTGCCCTGCTTGGACCTTCTGTGTAGCAAGCATTGACAGGAATGGGTGATGTCCTAACAGCACTTTATCTGGCTTGGCTGTTGATTCAGTTGTTCAGGGACACTAAGTGTCTTTAAAGGAAAGTGGTCTAGGACATATGTGTGTGGCACTGGCGACTGGACTGGCAGACACTACACCAATATAAATATGCATTATACTTTGCAAAGCTTGGTCCCTTTTCAACTTAGAAAGAGGCTTGGACATTGTCCTTGAATCCAACTATTGCAAAAGTGTTATATAGTACACATCACGAAGGAGTCACCAATAAACACTTAAATGAAGAAACTTCAGTGAAAGAGCAAATTCAGAAAGTTGGATATGCCAAGCAGATAAATAGGGAAATGTACGACAACCGGAGACCAGAGAGTGTGAGGGGCCATTACCAGATCTAAGCAGATGGAATAATAAGAAGAAATACTTTCCTTCAAAATACCAGGAGTACTGAACAGTTCAGAAAGGCCAAACAGTATTGATTACAGAGAATGATGGGTGCAGGCACAGTCAGACATGCAGCCCAAGCAGGGCAAATGCGAGGCCATGATCTCATACAGCTGAATGATACTGGAAGCTAGAAGGTGAGGGATCTCTGCTCATGTAGTCTACATAGCATGGGGGCACAGAGCAGGCTGAAAAGGTGAGATGGATCTGTGAAGAGACAAGGGAGAATAAACCATTAAAATCTCATGTGAAGGTCTCATTTACCTGCCGAAAGTATGACCCTATTGTGTCACTTACAGGTGAAATCTAGAGTAGCCAGATTCATAGAGGTAGAAAACAGGGTGCTGAGAAGAGATGTGGGGAGGGGGAAACCGAGTGATGTTAGTCAAAGGACACAAAATCCCAGTTGTGTATATGAACACAGTAGGAGATGTAATGTAAAATTTCAACCATTAAGGATGGGATGTAGCAATATACTTGAAATTTACTAAAATGTAAATTTTCAATTTGATACAGACCCTCCTGACTTTTCCTTCTTTCTTTCAGGGCCTTTATTTGCTCACAGTCATGGGTCAGCTGTTCTCTTCATCTAAGGATGAACACCACAAAGATTTGGACTCCACCTTTACCAAATATTTTAAGAAGTTTAAAACAGAAAACAAAATCATTCCTCAGGAAACCATAGCTTCAGTTGAGTTAAACTTGAAAAATAGAAACATTCAGGGGGCAAACACTTCAATCACTGATGCTTGTGTCCTCTCTTGATAGCAGTCCCCAAGGAGAAACCATAACTGGGCTGGAGAGGGAGAGATGGCTCAGTAGATAAAACATTTGCCTTGCAAGCCTGAGGACCTGAGTTCAGAACCCTAGAGCCCCCATAGAGCCAGCTAAGCATCTGTAGTCCACACACTCCTGTGTGGGATACGAGGCAGAGATAGAGAATCCTAGAAGCTCTGGGGCCAGCTCAAACTTCTACATGTAGCAGTGAATAGGAGACACCGACACAAGGAAGTAGAAAGTAAAAGCCAACACTCAGGGTTGTCCTTTGACCTCTGCATACACACCATGTCATGTTCATGCCTATAATCATCTATATAAATGCACAAAACCAAAAAGCTTGTTCGTTGAAAAAGTAGGAAGGTTTGGGGCAGTAGCAAAATGGTATAGTAATTGTCTCACATGCATGAGACCTCAGGTTCAATCTCTAGCATTCCTGAGAAAGGGTAAAAGCAGGAGTGGAGAGATGGCTCCGAGGTTAAGAACACTGGCTATTCTTGCAGAGGACCCAGGTTCAATTCCCACATAATAGGACCCACATAATAGCTACAGTAGACTATATGTCCTGTTCCAGGGGATCTGATACCCTAACCTAAACAGGGACCAGTCACAGATGTGTTAAAAGATATACATGTAAGGCAAACTTTCATAAAATAAAAGTAAGTAAAGAAAAAAATTAAATATACATGTTGAAATACAGAGCTAACATGTGGGCAAGAGAAATAATAACCATAGAGATTCCAATAGCCTTAATAGTACCTAAGATTACTAAAAATCCTATTTAATCAGAATTCTTGAGAAATGTTAATGAAGTTCTCTAATTATGTGTCAGATCCAGTGAAGATGAATAGATTCATCTACTTTATAGATTTTTAAATGCTGTGATTACTAAATTATGTTTTACTCCATATCAATAAAACCATTTAATAAATTCTTTTGCAAAAATATAGACATTTGTTGTTACTTGATATTCCCATGAACCCATAATAGCTCCACAATGACTGTCCTTAGAATTACTATTTTTGGATGATTATCTCATTGACCATTCCCTGGCTGACACTTTATCTTCCATGAAATAAAATACAAATAAACAGTACATTTTTTATTAAGACTGAAAGAGAGACACAGAGGAAAGGGAAAAAATTATTCATGGTGAGGAGTGGATTCTTAAAGTTTGGGCTGCTATAATCCTATAGACTATGTGGGTTAACAATAGAATTTTGTTCTTACACTTCTAGTGACTGATGTCTGACATTCAGATGCCAGTGTGGGCAGACATTCAGTGAAAGCACTCTTCCTGGTAATGCCTCACATGGCCTTCCATGCTCTCTGTGTGCAGAGGATGTTTCTCTTGTCCCCTCTTCTCACAATTCTATCATTTGGACTCCATTTCCATGACCTAGTCTAACCATAAATGCCTCCCAAAGCCTTTCCTCCTAACATCATTCCGCTGAGGGGTTGGGCTAATAATATATGATTTCAGGAGGGAAGAACAATCAGTCTATAACAGGTTATGCAAATTATGCATAAACTTAAGTTGATTTCTTAATGCAAGCTATGGCACTCAAACACCAACACCAAATACTCCAAAGTATTTTTTTTACCATAAATTGAGATGCAGACTTACCAAAAAGATGACTAACTGGAGACACCAGACAACCCCTTCTCCACTGAAGAAATAAAATCAAAGAACAAGCAGATGATGTTTGCTGAGAATGTTTGGAGCATGCTGGAACATGAGAGAGAGTTATGAAGAATGGAGGCTCCAGATAGCCAGGTCAAGAAGACAACAGCCCACCTTGCACAGAGTGCTCTTGATTCCCAGCCTGGGCTTGTTTGCATGTGATAAATCTTCCTACAGCTCAAAAAAATGAACTGAGTAGAGCCTGAGTTGTCCATATCAGCACCACAGAGGCATGGATTTTTCTGTAAGGAAATACTTTAGCCATCAAAGGTTTTGAGCTCCACAAGGAGTGAGTACACACACTCCCACATGGGTACCTCTATTTACATAGCTCCCTGCCCTATGTCAGCTATTGGTGCATGGTGCCATTTTTAGACCAAATCTATCCACACTTCAAACGTCACCCCAACTTCCATGTATGGCACACACTCAAATGCTGTCTGAGTGTTTCAATCACTGTAACCCCAAATTATATATACTTCTTTGGCTATTAGAATGCCATCACCTGTGTGACTTGGTTCAGATTAGGGTGTTTGACTTTGTTACCACACTCATTAAGTCCTCTGAATCATCAGTTGGCATTTATGGAGGCACCATAGGTATCCAAACAAAACCAAAGCCTATGTTGCCTCTAACATAATACCCAATACCTTCAGGGGAAACTATTTTCCTAATTAATTCTCCTGCCCAATTGGTAAGACACTGGTACACCAGATGTACCAGATGTATCAAAGAGGATGAAGAAGTATGGAAATTCAAGACAAAATGATACAACCAAGGAAACACAAAACCTTTTATCAATTAACACTGCAAGAGAAGTTGAGTAAATGCCAGAAAAAGAAAAGAGTAATTCTAAGGAAATTGACTGAATATAAAGGGAATATATAGCATGATTACATTGAGACTATTAACACAATTCATTGTATGAATAATGAGAAATTCATCAATGAAGTAGAGATCTTTCATTTACAAAATGCTGCAGGGTTAGGGAGGTTAATGGACAAAACATTGCTCTGCATGCACGAAGATGTGAGCTTAGACAGACAGAGAGATAGATAGACAGACACACAGACATAGAGATAGAGATTAGAATGGTTTGCAAATTGTGGTCCAGCTAGTTCACAATAGCTGTCTACCAATGGAAAGAATAGGAATCCAGCAGTTGCTCCGTCCACGAAGCTGAAAGTCTCATCTGGTCTTCAGTATAGGCTGTAATCCTGAAGAACTAGGCTCTAATGCTGGTGAAGGAATTAACTTGCCAGTGAGAGTGAGGACAACCAGGCAAACAACAATTAACTCCCTTTTCCCATGTCCTTTACATTGGCTGTTAGCAGAAGGTGTGGTCCAGATTAGCTGGATTGTCCCACTGGATTGTCTCTATTGTGGGAAGACCATTCCCACAATAGAGACTCTTGCACATTACCAAGTATGGCTGACAGGGAGAAGTAAAACCTTGGTGGCCTCTGGAACACAGCTCCTGTGAACTGACTCTGAGGAAACACTTCCCGACCCGTCCAGCAGGCCAGGTTATTGGGTGTGACTCGAGGAGGCACCTCCTGAAAGGCCAATGGGGACGAGAGAGAAAGGAGACCAAGCGCATAAAGAAAACAGAGTCAGTCTGAGTTGCGTCAAGGTCTCGTTTATTGCAAGGGGAAGTAGGCTTATATACACTGATGTATAGGAGAAGTGAATAGGGAAAAAAGGGGGGAATGAAAGTTTGAAGAATAGAAGAATAGGGTCCGGGTGAGGTCTCTTTGAAGACAAAGAGTCGGGGCGAGGTCTCCTTGGTCCAAAGCTTGTGCAACCGACCAACTTGAACATGTTCAAGGAAGTTATTCTAGAAGTATATTAATCTAAAGGTACATTTTGTGTTTTTTTCCAGGAGTTATTGTTTTTTGTAACTTAGTAATGGTTGTCAAGGGTGTAGTTACATCAGATCATCCAAGCAAGAAAGGCCAGAGTGCAGTCATCCATTTTTTGGCTCCCAACAACTTCCCAAAACGGTTTGCCTGGGTGATGTTGGTCTCTTCTTAATCACTGCTAATTTCTTAGCTACAGTTGGCCACCATCTATTTTCCCAGTAAAGCAAAGACTTACTTCAGTAACTCTGTTATCTTGCTAAATATAGGTAATTCTTCAGCCCCAGCTAACCATAACAGCAGACTTTCACCTTTAGTCTTTAAGTGACTCTCAAACTTCCCTCTGGAACTTCACAAGCCAGGCCTCCATTGATGGCTTTACTCTCAACATTCTTATCTTCCAAGCTCCCACAGAAAAGGTCATCAAGCTTTAAACTCTTAATGGCTCTCTAGACCAAAGTTCCAAGGTCCTTTCACAATCCTTCTCAGAACAACATGGTGAGATCTCTCACAATACCCCATGATCCTGTTACCAACTTATCTTTAGGTTTCTATTTTCGTGATGAAACATCATGACCAAAAAGCAGGTTGGAGAGGAACGGGTTTATTTGGTTTACAATTCCACATCACTGTTCATCATCAAAAGAAGTCAGTACTGGAACTCAAATAGGCCAGGGACCTGGAACAGCTGCTGGTGTAGAAGCCATGGATGTGGTGCTGCTTACTGGCTTGCTCCCAATGGCTTGCTCAACCTGCCTCATTTTAGACCCCAAGACCACCAGCCAAAGGTTGGCATCACCCACAAGAAGCTGGGCCCTCCCCCATCAATTTCTAATTTTAAAAATGCCCTACAGGCTTGCCTGCAGCTCAATTTTTTAAAGGCATTTTCTTAATTGAGGTTACCTCCTCTCAGATGACTATAGCTTGTGTCAAGCTAACAGAAAACTATCCAGCAGAAGGATCTAGAGAAAATGAACTCTAATGGGTCATGGAATATCTTCTAACCTGGTTAGTAAGTTCCTTTGGAGTTTCTCTTACTTGCTAAGCCTTAGGTTAAAATGTTATGACAGGGCCTTTTCCACTTCCTTAAATCCTGGAACCACTGAAGAAAAAAAAAAATGAGTTTAGTTTCACTTTCCTGTTCCTAGAAATGCACAAGATTCTGAAATGAAACCAGATGCATTCTCCTCTGTGATTGGCTAGCACATTCTGAAGGTGGGACAAAAGCCAACAGAGTATACAAGGACCAGCCAACTTCCCTGTTTCTGCTGAAGAAGCAGAGGTGGAATTCGAGCGAAGAAATTCGAGCACAGCCAAGAGCTATTCCTCTGTCCCGAGCAGTGAGAGCCTCCCCTGGACACAGGATTATCTGGTAACTGGGCATTCAGTTTCATCTCTCACCCTCATTGTCTCTTTCCTAAGGAGCCTGTGGATAAAAAGACGTTTAGAGACATATCCTCAGAGCTAGGAATCCTCAGTTTGGAAGCTTTTTGGAGACAGGTAGGACTTATGGATGTTCTTAGGTAATCATTCAAGTTTAGATAGACCTAAAGTTAAGGACCAAGTTAATGTTTAAAATTTACCCAGTTGTTCTGTTTGGGGGATTTTTGTTTGTTTGTTTGTTTGTTTGTTTGTTTGTTTGTTTGTTTGTTTGTTTTGAGGACCTTTATTCCCTGGAAAAAATTAAAATGATCCTTTGGGGATATGTGTTGTGAAATATCACTATAGAATATATGAAAATTGTTGTCTCAATCCTGTGACTTCCTAGTACTCTTTTCTTGCCTCTTTCTACCAGCTCAGCATGTTTATTCTAAACTAGAGGAAGCTAGACTGGGGTGAATGACGCCCTCTGTAGAACGTTTCTGCTGCAACCTGCTAGGGGACAATTTACGGATTGGTTTGTCTTGTTTTAAAAATATTTTTATTTACTTATGGCAATTTTATACATCTATGTAGCACTTTTATCCTCTTCACCCACTATTCCTCTCTCTTTTCCCACTCTTACTCTCTCTGGGATCCTTCCTCTTCCCAATGGTTGCCCCTATGTTTTCTTGTCTTTATGTTTTTAAATACTTCACTGATTTTAATCAGATTCAGTTTTGTGTTCTGGTGTGGGGTTATTTAGTTGATCATGGGCAACTTTCTAGTGCTCACATATTAAAGAACAGTGACTCTCTCTGACCACCAGTCACTAATCCTAATAACTCTCCAGCTAAGTGCTCATGTGCCCTCAATTTCCTTCATGCTGAAATGTGACAAGCTAGATCTTATGGAAGTCTCTGCAGGGAACCCCAGTTGCCATGAGTTCACACATGCAAATGCCATGTCATATTCAGAAGTCATCATTTCAGGCCACTGCCCCTGCCCATCCTCTGGCTCTTCCAGGATGTTTCCTGAACCTGGTTAGGGTGGGGGTTGATAAAGATGTCCCTGTTATATTTAGCAATGAGCACTCAACCGTCACATATTCTCACCACTTTGACCAGTTATGAGACTGTGCATTCAGACACTACCCACTGCAGAAACAGAACAAATGGGAACTAAGCAGCAACACCACCAACAAATCCCTTGTCTGAGTAAGGTATCACTAATCTCTGGTATAATCAGAAGTATTGAGAAGGAAATTGGCCAGCATGGCCATTTATCAAAACAGCAATAGTAGAAACTGTGGGCATTTTTAATTAAGGAATCCTCTTTAGCTTTATGGTTTTTATTGGAAAATTGGAGTGTCAATGAAGAAATGCATTCTTTTGTAATGACTGATGTTTAATATCACTACAGTTTGTTGTGCTCATACTCAGTGCAAGACTAAGACAAATTTTTTGTTGCTTATTTTCCACTTTATGTTTTCTTTTGTAGTTTTTGGGAATTTTGTATAGTGCATTTTATTTGTTTTTTTTTTATTACATTTATTTATTCATTCCCTTACTCATGTACTGGGGCTAGGTGCCCACATGCTAGCACATATATGTAGAGGTCAAAAGACAAGTTCTGGAAGTCAGTTCTCTCTCATCAAATGTGATCTTGGGACTAGAACTCAGATCATCTGGCTTAGTGACAAGTGGCCTGGCCTGATCAGGAATTTTGCTGGAACAAGACGGTTTTAGAGTGTGTATAATTAGAACAAGGGATGGGTCCAAAAGGATGGGAGGCTTTGTAAAAAGATCCCAGCAACTTTTGTCTTGATAACTTTCACCAGGCTAAATCCAGTGGATCCAGGCTCATGGTTGCCCTGATAGACATAACTACTTTCATTTTTATCAAATCCAATCAACTTTTGCGATTGGCCAAATTTATTACCAAATAGTTAATTTCAGTAGATATCAGAAAAGCTTAGGTCTGGCCTCCCCTCCTCTGTTAGGTTTATGTGAGGCTGACAGAGTTGAACTTGGATGTCTGTCCAGCTTGGGAGAAAAATAACAAGATTCAGAGGGGACCCTGGTATTTTAGTAGGAATTTCCTAACCAGGAGGCCAGGAGCTGTGCCGCACCCCCAACACCCTGTGGGGGTCAGCATTTTCCTGAGGATGGGGAGCAGGGTTTGGGCTTTGTGGTCTTTGTTCTTGGTTTTCTGTTTTGTTGCTGGCAGTACTGGGACCCAGAGCCTGTCTTTGTCAGCAGTCAGGCTGTCAGCAGGAAATGGAAATAGTTCCCTGAAGGAAACATAAGGTTTAGAAAATTTCCCCCCCCAAAAAAATGTACATGTACATACCAAAATAATTATTAAAATACCTAATCCTGTAACATTATATAAAAATATGTTGTCTACTAGCCATGAAATGCTGTTGGATACAGTTTTTTGTAACTTAGTACAACCTTCATCTTATGGTTCTGATGAATGTGATTTTAAATAAAATCTACTTTTGTAATGTTACCAAAAGCAGATCAGTATTTTAAGAGAACCTCCTTGGTATAAATAAGGCTAGATTTTAGATTTATATCAGTATAGTGAACTTTGACATTAGAAATTTTAATATCCTTTAACTGTTGCTAACTCAGTCTTACCCATATACTTTTTTATTACACTATACCTGTTCTCTATCTTAGAACAAAACCAATTTAAAAGTCCTTTTCCTTCAGCATTTCTACAAACACATATCAGCGTAGTTATAAACTTTTAAACATTTTTCTCCTACTTAATGACTCCTTTTTTACTTTTATTTAAATATTGTGAGACATAATGATATAAATGAGAAATTTTTACATAGGAAAGGTATTTGTAGCCCTGATGAACTGGGAGGGATATGAACTGATTGCTTTATCATAGAGTCATAAGCATAGTCAGACAAATTTGTCAAAACAGGCAAAAGTGAGGCTATGTCCCCCATTACAGCAGTCAGAGCTCTGAAAGGGGACAGACAAGAGAACACACAGATACATTAAACCAGAGACTACTCAGCTCGTACTGAACCTCAGAAACAAAACACATTACATGTTTGCTTTTAAATTAGAAGGCAGCGAAGTTTTAACTCAAAGTATTTATTCACCCTAAGAAATGAAAACCAACCTGTGGCAGCCGTTATTGCCAAGGGCTGTGCTTAATTTCGAGTGTTCGTTAAGAAAGCAAAGTTTATCTACTTAGGAAAGCAAATAACATTGTAATATTTAACAGACAATTATTAACAAAGGCCAGGAGCCTGGGAGGAACACACGTTAACAATTCTAGAGGTAAACTCACCTTTCACCAGAAAATCTAAGTTATTTGTCAAAGCTTTATTTACCGTATGTGAACTAAAAGGAAGTTGGACAAACCTAACAGTTTTAATTTAGTATTACAAGGCATTTTGGTGCCAGGTAAGCAGTATATGAGCATAAGCATACATGTAGACATAACACAATATACACATGACATAAGTGTACTTCAAATACATTTTAAGGAAGCCAAAAGAATATTTTAGTTAAATTTACCCTGTCCAATTATTTTTTAAAGTCTTTTATTCTTATTATTTTTTCATTATCTCTAAATGAAATTCAATCTTAAATCAGTACTTTAAAATTTTTAATTTTTACTTGAAGCAAATTAGAAAACTTATATCTCAGTATGTAGTACCTTAAACAGGATGACTAAACACAATGTGGATGAAGCTGTAAAACAAAAGATTAGTCAACATGAAAACTATTTTCTTTACTTGGTTGAAATTTTGACTTAGGTGATTACAGAACTAAGCTGCAAAATCTCACTTCTGGGTCTTCTGTCACATAAAAAGCAAATCATCCAATCAATAAAACAAACACAGACCCACCTTTCTCCCTGAGGTGCCTTTATGCTGATCTATAGGATGAGAAACTCCATCTGTATACCATTAGGAAAGATCCCAGGTCAGGGGTTCAAGAAGGAAACTGGGGCAGATTGTTATTTGAATAAGAGATTGGATACAAAGGGTTGTGAAAGCAAATGATGGACAGACAGACAGCAGCGTGGCAGAGGCTGTGTGATTGAACCCATGTGGCAGCATGAGGAATCCCTTCTTATGGGTGTCAGAGAGAGGACATTCTGTTGTGCCATGTGATTGGTGAGAGGACTCTAGGGTGTGCTTGCAGTCAAGCAGTCTATGAACAGGAGTGCGGGGCGGAGAAGAATCAAGGGGTAAAGGTGATTTTAGTCATGGAAATCAAAGCTCTATCCTTTCTAAGATGATCACAACCAACCAAAGTGAGATTGCGTTGCAAAAAGAGGGAGCCCTGGCTAACACTTTAGATTGAAGAAACTAGGCCCAGGATTTCTTCCAGTCCCTGAGACCTCTTTTGAAGAGCTGACTCAAGGGTCCTACAACACTGGCCAGATTGGAAAACCTTCTAAAGATTCAGGGAGGCCACAAAACCTTCACAGGACCACCTGGTTATAGAAGAGCTGAAATCCAGGGCCCTGAAATGTGTCCATTCCCTGGTTTATCTCTGGCAGTGGAGATGGCTCCTTCATGAGACAGGGCCCTTTAGTTAACCAGCAATAAAATTCCAATGCACTGATTTCACATCTTAGTGAACTCAAAGACAAAATAAACAAGCCAAACATAACACAGTGGAGAAATACTGATTACCTCAGCCAGGCAAATCTGACACCGGAGATATTTCGAAAGTGATGCTCTCACTAACACCCCAGCAATGGAAGAATCACAATTTTATTCATGGGGTCCATACATGTTCATATAGGGGTAGTCCAACATTCAAGCATGCTCATTTTAGGATTACATTCCCTGAGCATGCTCATTTTAAAGTGATGGACAGAAATACCTCTGGGAATCCCCAGCTTTCACAATTACATTTTAGCTGACAATAAGGAAAAGGATAGTTTGAAGGTATTGAATGAAGGAATCTGCCCTTGAAGGTGCCAGCCTAAATTAGTCAATAATAGATTGACACATGTTCTTGTCCTAGCTGATCATCCATACATGGAGGCTGATCTCACATGGCTGCACAGCATTCAGGGTACCCAAATTTTTTTATGGGCATGCCAGTGGCTTCACCTGTTTTCCATCTCATGATAGCTTATTGTGTCCAGATTTTACATGAGCCCAAGGAATAGAATCTAGTAGCACTGAATGGTTGATAGTCCTCTTTGCTCATGGTCTCTGCTTCCTGGTTTGCAGGACTCAGTGGGCTAAGGAATGCCACATGAAGAAACTACCATGGTTCTTATTACTGTAGAACTGAGTTATACATGTCCATATACACCTGTAGTCCCAACAGTAGCAGACCTAGTACCTGCCAGTTCTTCTTTTTCCACAGGGCTATCCATAAGTCAAGTCCTGGATATAACCCAAGTGACAATACAGATTGTCAAATCAAAGTTTCAAGAGTTACTGTGATCAATAGACTTGCAAAGATTGGTCCCATTTCATCTCAGAAGGAGGCTTGGCCACTGGCCTCCAATCCAACACTTTATTGGAAAAGAGTTATATATTACAGATCAGGAAGGATTCGTCAATAAATATTGAATGAAGAGACTTGAGTAAAAGAACAAATTCAGAATATCAGTTATGCCAAACAGATAAACAAGGGACTGCTTGACAACCAGAGGCCAGACAGTGTGAGGGGCCATTGACAGATCTAAGCAAAGGGAATAAGAAGAAAATATTATCCTTAAAATTATCATGAGTACTGAACAAAGGGCAATTGCATAGATGGCAAAGAATGATGGGTGAATGCACAATCAGACATGCAGCCCAAGCAGGGCAACATGGAGGCCATGAACAGATACAGCTGAATGATACTGCAAGCTGGAAGGTAAGGGACCTCTGCTCATGGAGCCTACATAGCAGGGAGGCACAGAGTAGCTCAAAAGGTGAGATGGATCTGTGAAGAGACAATGGAGAATAAACAATTAAAATCTAGTGCGAAGTTCTTGGGTACCTGCAGAAAGTATGACCCTACTGTGTCACTTACAAGTGAAATCTAGAGTAGCCAGACTCATAGAGGTAGAAAGCAGGGTGGTGGGCAAAGCTGTGGGGAGACAGAAATAGACTAATGTTACTCAAAGGACACAAAATCCCAATTGTGTAAAATAAAAATGATAGGAGATTCAATGCATAGTGACAACGGTTAAGGATGGTATGTGGCAATACACTTGAAAGTTGCTATAATGTAGATTTTCAATTTGATACACCCTCCTAACTTGTCCTTCTTTCTTTCAAGGCCTTTATTTGTACACAGTCATGGGTCAGCTGTTCTCTTCATCTAAGGATGAACGCCACAGAGATTTGGCCTCCACCTTTACCGAATATTTTAAAAAGTTTAACACAGGAAACAAAATCATTCCTCAGGAAACCATAGATTCAATTGAGTTAAGCCTGACAAAAGGAAACATTCAGGAGGCAAACTCTTCAATCACTGATGCAGTAAAAAAAATTGATAGTACCCCACTCAATGTTGCTGTGACTGGGGAGTCTGGAGCAGGGAAATCTGCCCTCATCAATGCCCTGAGAGGGGTTGGACATGAAGACAAAGATGCAGCTGAAATTGGAGTGGTGGAAACCACCATGAAGAGACATCCATACAAACACCCCAATATTCCCAATGTGGTTATTTGGGACCTGCCTGGGATTGGAACCACAAATTTCCCACCAAAAGATTATCTGGAGAAAATGAAATTCCATGAGTATGACTTCTTCATTATTGTTTCTGCCACACGCTTTAAGAAAAATGATATAGACCTCGCCAAAGCAATCAGCATCATGAAGAAGGATTTCTACTTTGTGAGAACCAAGGTGGACTCTGACTTAAACAATGAAAAGGAATTCAAACCACGCACCTTTAACAGAGAAAAGGTCCTGCAGCAGATCCGCACCAGTTGTGTGAAAACATTTCAGGAGAATAACATTGATGAACCACCAATCTTCTTGATCTCTAACAGAAATTTGTCTGATTATGATTTCCCATTCCTGATGGACAAGGTTATGAGTGTTCTCCCTGAATACAAACGATACAATTTTATGCTCTCCTTGCCTCATATTACAGATACAGCCATTGAAAGGAAGCAACAATCCCTGAAGCAGAGGATTTGGCTAGAAGCCTTTACAACTGACCTTCTGAGTTTCATTCCTTCACTGACCTTCTTCATGGGCAGTGATGTGGAGACTCTTGAGAAAAGCCTGAACTTTTATCGAACTGTGTTTGGAGTGGATGATGCATCCTTGCAGAGTTTGGCTAAGGACTGGGGAATGTCAGTGGATCAACTCAAGGCAAAGATGAAATCTCCTAATGTGTTCGAAACTACAAAGAAAGAAACAGTACAAGAAAGGCTTTTAAGATATTATGAGGAGTTCTGTTTGGCTCATGGGCATTTGTTTAATAAGAATGTTTATGTTAAGGAATTATATTACCTAAAATTATATTTTGTTGACATGGTAACAGATGATGCTAATGCTCTTCTCAAAGAGATATGTTCAAGAAACAACTTGATTTCTGATTAGGCTGAAATAGGGTTTATTCAGGCCTTCCAGGCTTTATCCATACTTAGTGATCATATATCCACATTAGCTGTACCAAGGGGATCAGATATGTGTAAATAAGCTGAGAGCTTAAAACTATCTACTCACTTTGAATAAGCCCTCAGGTGGATTAATTGCTTTTATTTGAATTAGTTTACTCTATAGCAGCATCCATTTTTAGGTTTAACATTGTGATGGTTAGTGTTGTAGACAGACTTTAGAATCACATGGGAGATGAACCTCTGATCTTGCCTTTGGAGAATTATTTTACTTATGTTAATTGAGGGGAGAAGCCATGCCCACTGTGGGGGGCACCATTCCCTAGGTGGTGATCTCTGACTGTGCGTGTGGAGAGAGGGGCTAATCAACAGTATATATGCATTCATCCATTGTTCTCTATTTTTTCACTGTGGGTGGAGTGGCACTACCTGCCTCCAGCTGATGCTGTGACTTCTTGGTAATGATGGCCTCTGTAATCTTGAATTTAATACTTGTGTCCTTTCTTGATAGAGATACCCAAGGAAAAACCATAACTGAGCTAGAGACATGGCTCAGTAGATAAAGCACTTACCTTGCTAGTCAGAAGACCTCAGTTCAGATCCCCAGAGCCTACATAGAGCCAGCTAAGCATCTGTAATTCACACTCCTGTGGTGAGATAAGAGGCAGAGATAGAGAATCCTGGAAGCTCTTAGGTCAGCTCACCTGCCATATGCAGCAGTGAATAAGAGACCCTGACACAAGGAAGTAGAAGGTAAAAAACAACACTCATGGTTGTCCTTTGACCTCTGCACACATGCCATGTCCTGTTCATATCTGCAATCACACATGCAAATGCACACAAACAAAACATTTATTCTTTAGAAGAAGAAGGAAGGTTTGGGGCAGTAGCTCAGTGGTATAATACTTGCCTCACATGCATGAGACCTTGGGTTCAATCCCTAGCACTCTACAAAAAGAAGAAAGGGGGGAGGCTTGAAGAGTGGGCTCAGAGGTTAAGAACATGGGCTGTTATAGCAGAGTATCCAGGTTCAATTCCCACATAATAGAACCCACATAGTAGCTACAGTAGCCTATGACTCCTGTTCCAGCTGATCTGATACACTCTACTGACCGCCACAGGAACTAGGTACACGTGTGGTGAACAGATAGACATGTGAGGCAAACATTCAAATTATTTATGTTCAAATAAAAAGAAAGAGAGAAACAATGACCATATAGATCACAATAGACTTAATAATAACTAAAAAATTCCTAAAAATTCTAGTCAGCATCCTTGAGAAAATACTAAAGAAGCCTCTAATTCTGTGCCAGAACCAGTGAAGATGGAGAGATTTTTCTACCTTTTATTGATAGGTTTTTGAATGTTGTGATTACTAAATGACTGATTTACTTGATATCAATATCAAAAGCCATTTAATAAATTTTTTATTAAAAAGACATTTGTTGCTGCTTGACATTCCCAAGAACCCAGAATAACTTCACAGTGACTGTCTTTAATATTGCTATTATTGGCCGATTATCTCACTGCCCATTCCCTGGCCTACTTTCTTTCTTGAAATAAAATACAAGTAAATAGTACATGTGTCAGTAAGACTGAAAGAGAGACCCAGAGGAAAGGGAAGAATTATTCATGGTCAGGAGTGGTTTCTTAAAATTTGGGCTGCTATAATCCTATAGACTATGTGGATTAAACAATAGAATTTTGTTCTAGAACTTCTAGTGACTGATGTCTGAGATCCAGGTACCAGTGTAGCCATACCCTCAGTGAAAGCATTCTTCTTAATAATGCCTCTCTCACATGGTCTGCCTTGGTGTATGTGTGCGGAGAATGATACCCTTTCACTTCATCTCACGATCCTATCATTTGGACTCCATTTCCATGACCTAGTCTAACCACAGATGCCTCCCAAAGCCTTTCCTCCTAACAGGATCCCTTGAGGGGTTGGGCTATGATTTCACGAAGGAAAACAATCAGTCTATAACAGGTTATGTAAATTATGCATAAACTTAAGTTGCTTTCTTAATGGAAGCTATGGCACTCAAATACCAACACCAGATACTCCAAAGTATTTTTACCATAAACTGAGATGCAGACTTCTCAAAAAAAAAAAAAAATTGCTAAGGAGAGACACGAGACAACCCCTTCTCCTCTTAAGAAATAAAACCTAACAACAAGCAGACTTTGTTTGCTGAGGATATTTGAGAATGTTAGAATACAGTGCACATGAAAGAGAATTATTGAAAATGGAGGCTCCAGGTGGCCAGTTCAAAAAGGAAACAAATCACCTTGCGTAAAGTCCTTTTGACTCCCAGAATGCACTTGTTTGAAAGTGGCAAGTTGCTGTGCCCCGTAAGGCCTGGGTGTGAGGCCTGGGTGTGAGGCCCAGTGTAACTTTCTGAGCCTGGCTCGAGTTTGGCAACCTGTCCTGGGACGTGACTTCCGCCTACGAGTGACTCAGCACTACCCAATCTAGAATCGCCTCTGCCTAGTAACTGCTGAGATGGCATCATCTCATTGGCCTGCTATCATCACCCCATTCCCCTATTACCCCAACCTATATAAGTTCACTCCTGATGCAATAAAGCAAGTTCCTGCTTCGAAAAGACGTCTGGTCCAGCGTGCTTCTCTCCGGGGGAATGGGGAGGCCTGGGCTCTTCGACACTCCTCCCACTCAGCCCCAGGGAGAGACCAGCTGGCCAGATCCTGCCTGCACCCTACCTATTGGTCAGACCAACAGCAAGTCCTCTTGCAACTCAGAAATTGTACATAGTAGAGCCTGAATTGTCCATATCAGCCCACAGAGGAATGGATTTTTCTGTAAGGCAATACTGCAGCAATCAATGTTTCTGAGCTCCACAAGGAGCTGTAATGGACTACACACCATTGCACTATTCCACGTAGGTACCTCTATTTACATAGCTCCCTTCCATATGCAAGCTTTCCTGTATGGTGCCATTTTAAGACCAAATCTAACCACATTGCACCCCAGCTTCCATCTATGGTACACCCTCAAATACTGCTTGAGTGTCCCAATCACTGTACCACAAATTATACGTACCTGTTTGGCTATTAGAATGTCATCACCGTGTGCCCTGATACAGATCAGAGTCTCTGACTTCGTTACCACACTCATCAAGTCCTCAGTTATAGTTTGTGGAGACACCATTGGTATCCAAATGGAAACAAAGCTTGTGCAGCCTCCAACATAATACCCAATACCTTCTGGAGGTTCCTACCGAGATCCAAGAAAGAAGGGAAAAGCTGATGGACACTCTTGGAAGGCTGGCCAGTAATTTAAAGGAAAAAAACAAAGAAAGATGAGAGTGAATTGTCATGGGTGCAAATAGGGCACCACCACAGTTAAGAAAGGGCAAGACAGCTAAAGATATTAAATATAAAAAAGGAAATCTTCCCAACAGAGAAGAGGGAGGGAAAGGAAATTTCCCATTAGAAAAGGTAGAAAAAATTTAATCAAGAAAAAAGGATTTTCCTGGTAAAAAGGGGGAAATTTTTGAAACTAGGCCTAAAGATTGGGGCCCTGTAGAGGAAGGATGAACAAAAGAGAGAAACCTCTTCCCAGTGGTAATGGAGAATGTAAAGACTTTTTCCAATTTTAGAATTTTCAGGATAGCTGAAACTCTGAGCTCTTTCTGCATGCCGGTGTAGAGAGGCAGCATCTGAATTACAAAGAATCGGCAGGTAGGCCTCATTGCTGCTGGCTGAATAGCAAGGGAGCCCAGAGGTTAGAAGTTTTGCTGTCTGCTTATTTTGGTTTAAATGTTCATTTTTTCCCTCAGAGTGGGAATAATTCAATATTTAGGATCCCTTCATGGGAAATGTTTTTATGTTTTCCCTTATGGTGGGAATAACTCATTATTAGGTAGTCCCTTCATGGGAGTGGGAAGTTTAAACATGAGCTTGTGTGCAGGGCACACACCCAGTGGCAGAGGACAAAGGTGCACACGAGATAGCCCGGAGCAGCGGGCGGACAGGTATGTGCTGGTGGGAGGCAGAGCTGCAGGGCAGGCACTAACACTAGAGCCCGAGCACTGGGCGGAGCCAAAGCCAAGCCGAAGGCTGCCAAGCAAGCAGAGGCCCGGGAAGGAACTGGTGCTAAAAGTTTAAACAGGCCTAACTTCTGGTGAAAAATGGTTTCGGTCAGGACATGGAACGTTAAGTCAACGCTGTGTGAATAAAGGATTTTCTGTTCTTTTGATTGTCTTAATAAATGTTTGGATGAATAGTTGATTTTCATGGTAGATAAACTAAAGGAACAGAAATCATAATTTTGAACTATATTTTAGGTATGCTCTTGTCTGTTGATCGTTACTGAAAATTTGGCTCTGCTCTTTAAGTTGCTTTCTAGAATTCTATAGAAATATAACACCTGAAATGCATTGGGTTGTTAGCTTATTAAATAATGTTGTTGCTAAGATAAACCCATAAAAAATAATCTCTTACTGATAAGGAGGTTACAAAATTATTTTTCCAGTAAATAAAATACAGGTGAATTGTTTGGTCCACATTGTTAATAATTGGCTATTTGTGCTAATGTGTTACTTGGAATCTATAAAATAAAAAAGGATCCTCTTTTAAGATTTTATAATAATACTCCAGAGTATTGCCTAAAGATACCTCTCCAAACCCTATATAGATTGTATTTAATGCTTTTATAATTGGCATATGTAAAAAGGATGATGGAAATAGAAGCTGGTGATAGAATTGCTCAATTATTATTGCATTCATATTTTAAATGCAAAATGGCGCCTATATGTAGAACTGGAGGCTTTGGAGGTACAGGAAAAAAAGGTGTTTTGACAAAGTTATCAATGATAAACAGCCTAAATTAAAAATAAAATTATATGGGATTGAGATTAAAAGATTATTGGGTTCTGGTGCTGGATATATCTATAATTTCACAAGAATCCTGAGATCCCAATTGGCCCCTTAAAAATTCCACCTCTAACCTACAAGGTATCAGCACAGCTCAGACCCCATTACAGAGCAGGCTACTCTTAAATTGAAAGGATGAGAAAGGTCATGCAGGAACTTTTCAACCCTTTGTGCTACCTGACATTCCAGTGAACTTGTGGGGACAGGATGTGTTAGATGGTATGGGAGCAGTGCTTACTACACAACCTGTACAACAGATGCTATTCTCCCATTCATGAATATGTATTGCAAGTGCAAGGACTCATATGGTCCCGCTCACATAACCTTTATGTGGGCCATATTAGAGCTCATACCCAATTGCCTGGACCTCTAAGTGAAGGTAATCAGAGGGCTGATGCCATTACTTGTATGGCTGTCACATTAATTTGTTCTGCCTTTGAAAAGGCTACTCAGTTGCATCAACGTTATCATCTTCATGCTGGATCATTCGTCATCAGACAGGTATAACCCAGGAACAAGCCATCTAGATAGTTAAATCATGTCCTATTTGTGTTGAATTTTTACCTGTTCCTCATTTGGGAGTTAATCCCTGAGGACTAATCATGTGTGGCAGATGGACGTCACACACACGTGCCTTCCTTTGGAAAATTGCAATATGTCCACGTGTCTATTGATACATATTCTTCTCTAATTTTTGCTTCTGCCCATCCAGGGGAAAAGGTTAAGAATGTAAAGAATCATTGTCTTCATGCTTTTGCTTATATGGGAGTGCCAAAATGCATCAAGACTGATAATGGTCCGGCCTACAGCAGTACAGGATTTTCAAAATTCAGCCAAGACTTTTATATTGTTAATAAGACTGGTATTCCTTATAATCCTCAAGGACAGGCTATAGTAGAATGCTGCCATCATACCTTAAAAACATATATTGCTAAAGTAAAAGGGAGGAGCTAAGGGCTCATCTCTCCTCTCCACATTCTATTTTTTCCCCTGTTTTATATATTTTAAATTTTTTATTGGTAGATTCTGCTGGAGTATCCGCTGCAGATAAGCACTGGAGGGTTCCTGTTGTAAAACATCCTCTGGTGCGATGGAAGAATCTTTCTACTGGCACTTGGAGGGGACCCGATCCGGTGTTGGTGTGGGCCCAGGGATCTGTTTGTGTCTTTCCACAGGACAATGAGGTGCCTCTTTGGGTTCCTAAGTGCTGTGTGTGCCCTGTGGCTGCTGCTGAATCCCAACATGGCAGAGACCTATTGGGCCTTCATGAAAAACTCTCCCCTTCTGAGGCTAATGGGGATAGAGAGCCCAATATGGCTAGCCTTGGCAAACATTAATGTAAGCCTAGGAACTGTAGCCATGCGGCTGGATTCTTCAGAAGGTAATGTATGGTAACTTTTTTCAAAAATGTTGAGAATGTGTCACCCAGACACCTTGGAGATTAAGGATAACTCTGAAGGTCACCGACCTTCATTTGTTAACAATAGTATGCCAGCTAAGCCTTTTTCATTTTCGTAATTCTCTTCAGGCTGGTGTAGTACCTACCTGTTCAGGAGTGGCTCTGTGCAACTTTTATTGGTCTCCTGAAATTCATCTAGCCTTTTTGAAGATACCTTATAATTTGTGAGCCTGAATGTAGCCATTAATGAGACCATTAGTTCTGCTCCTTGTTTACTGTCTTTTGTTGTTGTTGTTGTTTTCTTTGTGGTTCTTAGCTGTTCTTTTGCAGAGCTGCCAGCTTAAGTCATGCTGGAATCAAGAAAAATGGGCCTTGGTGGCTTGTGTTCCTGGAGCTATGACCATGCCAGCGGACTGTGGCAATTAGACACAGATGATGCTCACACACTCCAGAAGAGAATCTGACATCGCTGTTGCCGTTGTTGCTGTTATAGTGGTGGTGGTCACTGCTGCTACTGTTTCTGGGATTGCTATTTCATAATTGGTTACTACAGCTAGCACAATGGAGACCCTGGCTGCAAAAGTAGCTACCACAGTTAATCTTTCATTTTATTGGGCATGATAAATTTAATTCTACAATCATACATTTGAATTGGCTTTGAAAGTTGTAAAATTTATAAAATTCAAGTTCCACTTGCCTATAGGATACCACCTTATGAGGACTCCAATTTGCAGTAAGCCACATTAAGGAAGAGAATGGCTCAATTGCCTTTAGCCTACTGGCTTATGGGTGGGTTAGGACTTCTGTTGGTCTTTTCTGTGTTTCACAGATTGCAAGCCCAGCACCACTTTGAGATCTTTGGCAGCAGTTACTCTACAGCTCATGTGGTTGAGTCTGTATGATAATGAGTATTCAGAGACGGGTAATGCCTGGGGGGTGGTCTTCAACCTAAGCCAGAGTGCCTGTGTGGCCTGGGCAGGTGTCTCCATGACGGGTAAGGTGACCTGCTGATGTCCCACGCAACCTAAGTCAGAAGCTCATTTTTTAGTAAAA